TTAAGTAAACTTTTGAATTTGAATTGATATGAAATCATGTTTTTTGGTTGATGCTGGCTAGTGACAGAATCTAGGATGTCTTATTCTTGACTCATTGGTTCGATCTATCTGCATCCCAAATTAGTAGTGGTGTTCTAACTGAGACTCGAGTCCTGAACCTGTTATTTTAAACGCCAAGGTGTTTCCCAACAGGCTGGTGGGCCACGACAGTCACATTTGTGTAATGAGTATAGCATGTTATATGTTCTGGTTAATTTGCATCATTCGTTGATGAATTCTGTTAGACAGGAAATGCTTGGGACTCTTCATCAGAACGCACCTACCGAATTCGAACCCTGAACCTTCTGGTTACAAGGAGGACTCATAGACCGTTAAGCCACTGAGAACCACTTCAACGACCCATGATTTCGGACCAGTAGGGTACAGCAAGTTGAGAGTGAGGACAGTTGCTCACCAAAGAAGACATAGCGAAGTGGTCACACTATGTCATGAATTGGTAGAAGTCGGAATTCATGGACTGGCCATTGGATCGGGTCCCAGTGGCTTAATGGTCTACGAGCTGGGTCTCCTTGTAATCAGAACGTCCAGAGTTCGAAATGCAGTGGTTGAGTTGTGATGAAGATTCACAAACTAGGACGAAACAGCTGTTCATTACTCTTAGGTATTCCAATGGTTCTCTAACTGACGTCAGATCATGATGAAAACACCCAACCAATCAAACAAAATCCACACAATGCCAATGCACTTTTTTCTCTCTCCAACTTACCTTCGTTGTTTGTTACCGCTTTTTTTCATCTCCAGTATAGAAGTTGTGTCATTCTGATTCCACGTGCGCAGTGTTGAATTGACTAACAAAAATTCCAGTGATCAATCTCTCTCTCCACCTAATTTTATTACTTTTTAATACTCTCATCCTCTCTACCCTATTTCGATATTACATGCAAGTGAATGCCATGCAATGACTGGGCTTTTTCACAGACTGTTTAACATATCAGGGTCATTCATAATAGGTCAATCTAAATTCAAGTGAAAACAGAGAAGATGGAGGTAATGAAGATAACCAATCAACAATAACACCCAGCACCAATCATTGGAAGAGATTTAACAGAGGTTACTTCCTTCAATTATCCGGCTAGGAAGCATCATTTAAACCATAGGCAGGCAGATAGCACAGATGAAGATATCAAAGCCAGGAAGAATTGAAAAGGCAAGGTAAATTATCATCAACCTGAAACCAGTTAGGAAATTTTCTGCACTCAGCCTCTGTGAAGAACAAGATTCGTATTGTCAACACAAATGTGAAGTCAGTCATTTCTTCTATACGGGTCAGAAACTTGCACTGTGGGTAACAAAGAGGATTCCCAACAGGTTTCAGACTTTGTCAACAGCTGTCTTTAACAGTTGGCTCCATACTAAAGATCGAATAGCTGGCCGGTCAGAAAGAACTAGCAACAAGAAACTCTGATTGATAACAGACCAACCAAGTGATGATTGCTCAACAGGTGTGTAGGAGAAGATTGAGATGGATCGAGCATACACTGATGAGGCCGTAGAGGGATATCACACTCAAGGCCGGTCATCATTAGAGTGGAACTCCAGTGGGAATCGACCGATGGACCGTCCGTGAGAGGGTGATATAAAAGCGATCGTTTGGGGGAGGATGAGACTGGAGATTATGGGCAATTGTAGACCCAGGTGAAGAGGACACCAGACAAAGTGGGGATCTGTTGTTGAAGCCTTTTATTCAACTCGAAATCCAAGGGAATAATAATTATTATGAACTGACCACATAGCTTATTAAAGATTTAAGTATGACTTAATAAGTTCAGGGCTAGCTCATTTAATGTTCTTATTTTAAAGAAACTAGAAGTCCCACAAAATACTGTAAACTTTGCTTCAAGTTATCTGATTCCTAAGAATTAGCAACAACATAACTAAGTTCAGTGAACCTATGCAATGACGTCACGTCACCTGTCCTAGTAACAACTATCTTTGTTACATCAACGGATTTCTGTCAAGAATATGAATAAATGAATTTACTGTTTAATACTATTTCATTATATGACTGAAATTTTCATTACCAAACATGGTGATATTTAGAGGACGAGGGAATAAACAGCTTTCTAAAAGGAGCGATTCATTGACTTTTACCGAAAGTTTTGAATGTTTGACATATATTTACAACTGCAAAGAATCTACTCAACGTTTCACATTTATCCGATTTTACATTCCATAAGAACTTGTTAAATATTGTTGTTGTAAATTTTTGATGAAAATCTGTTGTTGAGCTTTGAAGTGTAAGCAATACATTTACGATATGACATTTCCGTATTCTATATTGTCGTCCCATTAGGTTGCGAGTGGAACACATGGCTACAAAAGCACATCTCCACTTCATTCTATTTTCTACAACCGTATCTAGCTGGCTGCAAAGTCGTTCATTGACTCCAATTTCCTCCTCAAGTGATCTCCTACATGCTACACTAGGATGCCCGACTCATCGTGTCCCATTTGGTTACCATTCGATGACCTGACGTGCCATGTCACCCAACAGTTGTCTCAGCGTTCACCAGATTCGTTTCAATTTCCTTCAGAGTATTCGTCAAGCAATAGGTTTTTGTTTGGTTTTTTTCCAGTCTTCATAGTTGCTAATACTTTCTGGCTATCTGATCTTCTGTATAGAGCCAAAGAAGGCAGTTGTCAAGGAACTTAACCCTAGGTTCCTATTGTTACGAAGATGCTCCGAACCGATAAATACTACGACTGATTCTCGACTTTAACTCTAAAACACCAGTGGTTGTAAGAAGGTAGTTGTACTATTTGGCAACTAAAATCGAGGGTTAGTACATAGTCTGTAAACAAATGTTTTATGGGAAATATGAAGTACTTTTATTCGTTTTCTCTCGTCTTCTTCGAACCTGTAAACGACTGAACCATTCACGCCTTTGAGTTGCCCACCAATGTCAACCAAGGCCAATGAATCAACGTTTAATGTTCACTTCCATTGACAGCACTTGTTGATAAAAGTCTAAATCAAGCTGTTGGAAATGCTTCCATTGCTGACCATGTCAACAGTGTGACCCATTATAAATGAAATCATTTGACTTTAGTTCTGGAAAAACAAATCTTGCTCCTTAAATCTAATGCAGTGAATTTCCACACTGATTCTCGAGTAATGAAGGTCTACATTACCTTTCTAACCCTTATTTTCCTATCTTCAGACATGGTACCTGTAGTTGAATCGTTGCAGCCTACGTTAGTGAAAGCGTTGATTTCATAATTTTCCCCGTTGATAATAACTGGTGCTTGTTATAATTCGTTGGGTCTCTCCATCACCGCTGTTTTTTGATGTTCACTTGAGGTCGTGTCTTCTCTGCTTCTCCGAGAACTTGTTGGTATATGCCTGTACATCTCCGAGTTTACGTAAATCATCCACGAAGTTCAAGTCTTCCAAGGTCTTCTTGTCACTGTAGTATATATCTGTCTTCTCACTCCTCAAGATCTGTTGCATGAACTGGTCCTCTGCGATTAGGAATATCATCAGTGATAGGAGACAGCATTGTCTGAATCTTTTCTTCACCCTATAGGCATTGCTAGGCTTTCCGCTGTGAATCACCTGATTGTAAACTGAATAGTTCAGTGTTAAAACCTTAGATCTTTAAATAGAAATGAGTTACTCGCTACTGATTAGCACTCATCAACAGTACAGCTTTGACTACAAGCTTGATATTGACTGATATCAATGCAGAATTAAAAAAGAATTAACTTCCACAGAAGTCAGTGTGTGTGTAAGGGAACTAACACTAATTAATGGTCTTTGTTTGTTGACCCAGCGTTCTTTTTCTAAATTTTGTTCAAAATTGGTGCGGATTTCAATTCATCTACATATAAACTTCGGTTCCTTTGATCATTTCAGATTTGCTGGTTCTTACGTACTCTTTACGAATCAACATAAGTTAGAGAGATCACTGAAAGTCAGAGAGCACTGGACAGTTGTTTCATCATAGTTCGAGACTCTTCAGTGGAGCGCACCCACCGCCACGTTTTGAACCCAGGACTTTCTGATTTCAAGGCCTGGCGAGCCACTGAGATTCAATCCAGTCAAACAAAATCCCAACGAAACCAATATTTGAAAATTGATCTGGTACTCACTAGTGACTGGCTCTATTCAGGCAGTTAACCTGGGGTTCTAGTAGGAAGCTATGACCAGTAGGGTACAGCAGATTGAAGATGAGGCAGTGGTCGCTATATGTCATGAATTGGCAGAGTTAGAATTCATGGGCTGGACATTGGATCGGGTTTTGGTGAGTGGCTTAATGGTCTATGAGCTCAGTGGCTTTGTAACCAAAAGGCCTTTTGTTCGGTGGGCGGTGGTTGCGTACTGATGAAGAGTCCTAAACTAGGACGAAACAGCTGTTCAGTACTCTTAAATTGGTTTTCCAATGGCTCTCTAATCAACGTCAACTCATGGTGAAATCCTTCGATTTAAAAAAAGATCCCTTCAAAACCAATACTTGAAAATATGTATGAAGATAGATTGGAAAGAATGGATTATATACTTGCCAAGAAGACCTTTGAGTGACATCATGTACTGGGCAGGCCTTCAGCCGGCACGTATATGGGAAATGGTGCATTGTTCGTGAGTCCATCAGTAACATGGAGATCGTTTGAGGTGGGGAACGAAAGCTGAATGCGAGAATACATTAATCACACTGCCAACTAGTATAAAAAATTAGACCTGAAAGATGTCATACTTAAAATGTAAAAACCTGATTTTCATGTACTCGATTGTAAATCACCTTTTACCAATCACAGTTGGAGAGCTCAGAATAATGATTGGAAAGTGTGTTCACTAGCTGGCAAGAATTTTAAATGTTTGTCTTCTTTAGCTGATGACACTTTTGCCAGAAATTTTGATTTTGACGCCTTATGTAAACACTAATTTTTATGATTTTAATTTCTGCTTGTTACATATATACATTTTAAAAATATTTTATCAGGTACCGGAAAATAATAATGTCGGTGTATTTATTGGAGAAGTGACAGCTATTGATCCAGATCTTGGCATGAATGGTATGCTAAATTACAGTATACACTGGCCACCAGGTCAAGGACCAAATCCTTTTGAAATAAATAAAAAAGGTGAATTCATTACACGTATACCGTTAGACAGGGAAAATCAACCTGAAGGTTATCATTTCATTGTAAGTTTTTATAATTTTTCCCGTGTTTTGAAGTCTCTATAGCGGCTGAGTTAATTTTTCACAGTAGAGTCACTCGCTGCACGCTTAAACTTCCCTCACCTTCCATTCATAGGACAAACTAGTAAACTAGGCGAGGTACGTATATCTGTAGTCATACAAATTCAAAGATATCTTTGTGGAAACCAACAAACTGGCAGAGAAAGCAGCAAAAACAGGACTTCAAGTAAATAATAACAAAAGTGATGAGTTGTCACGAACGACTGTTAAAGAAGAGTTACTTAATAACATGAATAGTCTGATGTAACAGTTATGCTCAGGGTGTACATGGAAACTAAATAAAATACAGAATTACGTAAGAGTAAATAAGAAGACAGTTGCAGCGAAGAAAATTTTCTTTTCGACGAAGTCATCATCTAGGCTGTACATTCGTGTATTTATATCAAATGGATGGGAAAGTTCCAGAATAATATCCGGTCAAGGGTCAAATTAATAAAAATTAAAATTAGGAATTAGAATGCCATAATAAACAGGGGGATGGATAAAACAAACAAAGTAGCATTATAATAACTAAGAAGACTGACATTGTGCAATTAGGGGTTAGAAATGTAGAAATAACAAAATAGACAGGATGTTTGGATAAAAACTAATGTGATGAATAATTGTTTATGCAATCAGGGATTAAATATGTAGAAATAGTAAAATGACAAAATAAACACTAAGTTCGGGTATGAAAATATGGTAGTGTAAACAGGGATTAAGAAAAACTTGAAATAACATGAATAAACAGGAAGTTTAGATAAGAAAGGCGATGGGATGGTGATTACTAAAAATTACCTGTTTATGATGGCCATGGCAAGGACAGGGGTTGGACGTATTTCTTTTGTATACAAAGCGTGGGTTTGAGCTTTTGTATAGCTAGCGCCTCGGCTATGCCCAGATGTCTTGATTTTACTCCCTTTGATGGGTTTGATCGAATCTTGTAAATGATTTTGAAGGATTTTTCGAGTGGCGCTGAATGTCCTGAATTCACCAGGTGTTCTGTCACCGAACTATTTACCCGTTTTCGTTCTCCTTTTACTAGCCAGGCTGGATAGTGTTCACGAGCGCGTTTTTCAAGTCGGCGCATGGTACGGCCAACGTACTCAGCTCCACAAGAGCAAGTAAACTGGTATATGCACGTTGAGGTGGCCCAATGCGACAGCTTGTCTTTCGCGTTCTGGCTGAACAGTTTCTTGCAGGAAAACGTCAGTCGTAGGCTAGCGGCGAAGTATGTTTTCCTCAGCGATTTTGAGAGGCGTCTGCGAAGGATTTCTGCTTCAATATCACCTTTGAATTCTAGATTAAGCAGAAGCATTTTCTTTGGGACGGATTGGACTTGTTCAGAAGTCTTCTTAGGTTTGAGATTCTTTTCTATGAACCTGGGCGGGAAACCGTTTTCCATCAGGGTTTTTCGAAGATTACGCAGTTCTTCTTCAACCACTTCCTCGCTGCATATCTTCCGAATCCTCGAGGAAAGAGCGTATATCAGGTTCCTCTTTCTGCTCAGGGGCACGAAGCTTTGAAAGTTGATGAATTGTCCATTCCATGTAGGCTTTTTGTATATGGACCTTTTCAGGGAGTTGTCGGCGTTTCTTGTCAGATGGACGTCGAGGAAGTGGAACATTCCGTCGGATTCAGTCTCAAGTGTGAAGTCGATGTTTGGGTGGGCATTATTGAAAATTTGAAGTAGGTTTTTTAAATCACAGTTCTCATCACAAATAATGAAAGTATCATCGATGTATCTCTTGTAGAGATGGAGGTCGTTGATAGTTGTTGATAAGGCGTTGTTCTCTAAGCTAGCCATAAAGCAGTCGGCTAGAAGGGGTCCTAAGGGAGAACCCATTGCTACTCCATCTACTTGCCTGTATATTTCTTTGTTGAAACTAAAGTATACGTTGAAGGTGCATCGAAGTAACAGTTCTTTCAGGTAATGAATTGGTATATCGACATTGATGTTATTGGATTCAATGTAGTCACAAAGGAAACATACGGTTTCTGTCAGTGGAACGTTGGTGAAGAGAGACACGACATCCAGGGAGACCATTTTCTTTTCTGCCACATTGACATTCTTAATTGAATCAACAAAGTCGAATGTGTCGCGGAGGTTATGTCTTGACAGCTTCTCTTTCACCGGCCCGAGAATCTCCACCAGCCATTTCGCGATTGTATGATATGGGGAATCTATCATATCTAGTATTGGGCGGAGTGGGACGTCTTGTTTGTGCACCTTGGGTAAGCCGTACATACGTGGCGTTGTAGAACCAGATGGGCGCAGTTGTTCGTATAGCTTTGAACTGATAATGGATTCGTCCTTCATTTTCTTCAATATCTTTGTTAGCTGGAGCTCCGTCTGTTCAGTGGGATCTTTCTGTGGAGACTGTTTCTGAAACTTTTTATCATCGGATAGTATCATCGAGAGTTTGCTTAGGTAGTCTGATTTGTTCATCAGGACGATTCCGGAGCCTTTATCTGGTCGCGTGATGATCAAGTTTTCATTATCTTTCAGTTCTTTCAGCTCCTTTCGATGTTCTTTGGAAAGGACGTTACGGAGGCTGGGTTTTTTGTTGATATAATCGAGACAGCAATTTAAAACGGTTGATTTGAAAAGTTCTGCATTCTCATATGAGATTGGGACGAGATCTTTCGTCTGGTCGATTAAATTCTCAAATTGCACTTTCGTGTTGAGTTCATTCACTTTTGACGTTGCATCACAAAACTTAGGCCCAAGTGCTAAGATTTGCATTTGAATTGGAGATAGTTGAACATCAGAATAATTGTACACGTATTTTTCTGGACAAGTAGGAAAGACGGTTTCTTTTGTAACGGACTTTAGGCTTTGGTTTAGTTTCATTATAACATCATCTGTTCTTTTCTTTGTAACCGTATTGGAGTAGTTTTCGAATGCTGTTCTCTCGTCTTCAGATAACTCATGGAGAACGTGGGAGCTTTTTGAGATATTCTGCTCTAGCTCAGGTAGTCTTGATCGCACTGCATCGATGTGATTCAGAGTGTGTCGTTTCAGCGTACGTGAGTTAGGGGATATGTGATTTCGTCTGAGATGCTTCCAAAATACTTTGGGATATTCATGTTTCTCGAGACAATTCTTCAAGAAGAAAATCTTTGCGTTCGCCTCAGCAAGCTTGACGGACAAACGTAGAAACTTGTTCAGTTCCCTTACCGTCGAACGGTCCTTGCTCCTCTTCAAATCACGGAATATACACATTGGGTCATAGGAGTAAATAAGAAGACAGTTGCAGCGAAGAAAATTTTCTTTTCTTCACTGCAACTGTCTTCCTAATTACGTAAGAGTTTTAAGTAGTTACAAAAATAAGCAAATAAATATAAGTTAAGTCAAATCAGCAGAGTTGTTAGCGTGATAGTAGAAGTGGCTGAATAATTTTCTATTGTATGCATAGTACTGGTTCTTCCAGCTGAATGGCTAGGGCTTCTGCAATGCAAAGAAGAGGGAAACGTATTCTCTTTGACAGGTTTTTTTCACTTTACAGATTCCTTTTGAAGGAGGAGGCGTTTGTTGAGTCGGAATGACCTGTGGTGACGAGATGTTCGATTAATGCATTTGTTATACGGCCACTACTTCTTTTCGGCAGATACGCCAGATGGTGTTCTTTGACACTTGTTGATAGGATACGCGTCCGATACGACCGATTTACTTGACTCTACAGCAACAGGTGAACTGATATATACATACAGAAGAGGTCAGGTGCGAGATCTTGTCCTTCGGGCTTCTGCAGATCAGCGGGAGACTGCAGAAGCCTACTCTAAATGTTGCCATGAAGAAATTTCTTCTAGGTTTAGATTCCAGATTTGGATGCTTCCTATCAAAGCATTTTTAACAGAAACTGGTTCATGACACACCAATCAAAAATGTGACATATTCCCACAGTTCAGTAAAACTGGTGAACTATTAGTATATTAGTGATTAGTGTGACACGATAAGGATGTATGTTTTCTACAAATACACCTGATATCTATGGTCGGCCTGCAAAATTTGGGCTACCGATATCCATGCTGAAAATTCCGAACATCTACCAAAATACGGTGTGGAATCAAGCTGTAGATCAAAATAAAATAAAATAGTTAGATTTCTACATTCAGTAGGATTTTCCGCCTAAAATATTACACTTTTCCCTAGTATAAACGCTGAAATCACCATTTTTAAAGTGACCGGTCATTAGGGCGTAACCGACGTCATGAGTCTAGTCCTTTATGTTTCTGAAATACCACTTTTGTGCACTGATAATTCATGTTAGATGATTGGAGAAATTCAGTATGAATCCTATGACCTAGATTGCATGCTTTCTGACCATCATCGGCGAAAGTGTGTCCAAAACTGTAAAAAAACTGACGTTCTGCATCACCCAGCGGTACAGTCAGAGACGTTACCACTAAGTTATTCAGACTCATGATTAACCTCCCAGCCCGGATCCTAATGATGACTACTGACGAGTACGTTTTAGAACTAAATAACGGTAAATATTATTTAGATTCATTTATTCCTCAAAGTAAACAGTACAGGTTCTATCTTTTGTATATTTGGCCGGCATGACAAAATGATGGAATAAAACTGCAATCACTCTGAACTCTTCTAAGTTGATCAAATCAGTGTTATGACAGAAAGTTACTGAGCTAAGTGCCTGTTTAACTTGACTAGAATGAACCTCCAGAATACGACACTATAACCAACTGATCACTTGAAAGTATCTCCCACACTGAGAGAGACTCAAACATCAGACTGGACAAACCGACGACCCGAAAGACGACGATAACAGCCACAACAGTGATAACAGTAATAACCACAAAAGCCGTTATTAGACAAAATATGTGGTATGATATATCTGTAAAACCTCGAAAATTGAAGCCACAAATAAAACAAAATCTAATTGGTTGTGTGACATCAAAGTCCCTCAGAAAACTAAGCCTTATATATACCAATGAAAACT